GCCTCCCACTCTCTCCCTATTTATTTCAGAACCCCCTTCCCCTCCCCCTTTTCTGATGAAGGGTCTAGGCCCGAAACGTCAGCCTCTCTGCTCCTATGATGCTGCTTGGCCTGCTGTGTTCATCCAGCCCTGCACCTTGTTGTCTTTGATTATGTTGGTTGCTTTCCCGAGGCAGCAAGAAGTATAGTTGGAGTCAATGGATGGAAGGTGGTTTGCTTAATGGACTGGGCTGTGTTCATGACTTTTTATGATCATGTTTATCATGTTAAAATATAAAGTAATTGCAGTACAAGTTTGGGTAACTTTTATTCCCTGCAGGCAGAACATTTGACAATTTCTCTTGTAAACTAATGTGACTGTATTGCAGTAATGATGTCAGACGCTTTAAACCTTGGCTTACAAAGCTTAATTTTTATTATCTGTTCATGCAAAGAACATTGTACAGTTTCCACAGCAGGAACGATTTTTTGAAATAAGAAATTAGAGACATTTTGATAGGAAAGAAAGTATGATGAAGGAAATATTTTAGGATAAACTAGCTCTGCTGACAAAGGTGGGGCAAATGTAGGAACATGGAAGTAGGAATTCTTCTTCAACCCTACTCTGCCATTATGTTAGAGCATGGCTGACCATCCACCTCAATGTCACTTACCCAAGCTATCCCCATATCCCTTAATGTCATAATTCTTCAGAAATCGAATAATTTTTGCCTTGAATGTTCTTAATGATTGAGCTTCCACAGCTTCCTGGGCAAGAGGATTCCAAAGATTCACCACAGAGCGAAGAAATTCCTCTTCATCTCAGTCTTGATTGGTCTGCCACTTATTCTGAGATTGTGCACTGGTTCTAGACCTACCAGCCTAGGGAAATGCCCTATCTACATTCCCATGTCATGTCCATGAAGAATGTTTTATGTTGCAGTCAGATCACTCCTTATTCTTCAAACTTTAGAAGATACAGGGCTAGTCTCCCCATTACTTTCTCATAAGATAGCCCACTATCCCAGGTGAACTTCTGTTATGTTTCCACAATGGCAAGCATATCATTTTTTTTAGATAAGGAGAGCAAACACCTACATAAATAATCCAGTTGCAGTTTCACAAAGGCTATACACAACTGCAGCAAGGCTAGTTTCTTCCAGTGCGCAAGTTCCCTTGCGATGAAGGCCAACATATTATTTGCCTTCCTCACTGGTTGCACCTGCATTCTAGCTTTTAGTGACTCATGAACAAGGAGACAAAGGTCCTTTTGGATACCAGCACTTCCCAACCTCTCATTATTTGAGAGAGATTGTGCCTTTGTTTTTTTTTCCTACCAAAGTGAATAGCCTCATATTTTAATTACATTACCTTCCATCTGCCATGTTATTATAAAATTCACTCGTCTTGTCTAGGTCAGCTTGAGATTTCCTTGAATCCTTCTTAAAAACTTACATTCCCAACTGGTTTTGTGTCATCAGTAAGTTTGGACATAGATATTTTCTAATCAACCTGTTGAATGATGCTGTTCCTGGTGGCCTGGTCCAAATTCATCCCTCAATTAATGGCACAGAAAGCAAGTGATCTAATGAAATTATCTAAAGGGTATCCAATAGCCCAAGCAGATTGCCTGCAGGGTTTCCTACAGTGCAACAGCAGTAACACGTCAAAAGCTGTAAAGCATTTTGGGCCAAGCTATGGTTGTGAACGATACATTTATGAGTGTATGTAATTCCTTAATTATCTCAGTGTAAAGATCCATCAATGGGGGAAATGATAGCCTAATGGTATTAATTCAGAGACCTAGGCCCTCTTGTGGCACAGTGGTAGTGTCCCTACCCCTGGACCAGGAGATCCAAGTTCAACTCCCACCCCTCCAGAGATGTGTAACAACATCTCTGAACAGGTTGATTAGAAAAATAGGTTAAGTAACAAATAAGTTCTGGGACAAAAACAAAGCTGCTGGCAAAGCTCAGCAAGTCTGGCAGCATCTGTGAAGGAGAAAACAGAGTTAACGTTTCGGGTCCAGTGACCCTCGGAACTTTTAATAAGTTCTGGGAACTTGAGTTCGATTCACACTGTGGGCAACTGTTAGAATTTGAATCCAATAAAAATCTGGAATTAAGAGTCTAATGATGACGATTAAACCATTGTCGATTGTTGGCACTACCCTTCAGAAACTGCTGTCCTTACAAGTCTGACCAAAATGTGACCCCAGACCCATAGTAATGTGGTTGACTCTTAACTGCCCACTGGGAAATTAGTGATGGACTGTAAACGCTAGCCTCGCCAGTGATCCCGCATCCCATGAATGAACAAAAAAGGAGCAGCATGGATCAATATGAATATTTT